GGTTTCGGCGACGGAGAAGATTGGCAGGGGAGAAAGGATTTGGGGGCCCAAATCCAAAGTCCAAATTCTGAGACGAAAGACGACGAGTTCAAAATTTTAACTACAGTGCATAGCAAAGGATCAATTTTCTATAATGGGCTTTGATGTAGGCTTTATGCTTCTCTAGCATGGGTGTGATTTGCAAAAATCTAAAAATTTCACGGGACGCGGTCGTACTCGTTTAACTTGTACTCACTTTTAAAAAAAAGTTTAATTGGTATCCAAAGTACAGACAACTACAAGTCGTTTCTTTCTCCTCTTTCTCCTTCTCCTCCTCCTCCTTCTTCTTCTTCTTCTTCTCCGTCGTCGTCGTCGTCGCTGTGAAAACAAAAGTGACAGTGGATGTAAATGATGTTTGTAAGCAGATTTTAAGGTGGTTTATGGTATTTTATAGTAGTGAGCTGATGTGGCGCTCCGTTCTTTACTACTCCTTAGGGTTTCTTCTTCTTCTTCTTAATTGCAAAATGGATTTATTAGATTTGTTGTTGTTTTGACAAATTGATGATTGTGATTTGTTCTTTATGATATTTGGAGGTTATGTTTCAAATTTAAGCTAATCTGGAGTAGATCTAGGTATTAAATCGTCTGTTGGATTATTGAAATTCGAAGAACACGTTTTTGTTTCTGGTTAATTTGTACTTTAGACTTATTTTGCCTTAAGTGCAAAAACATATTGGTTGCACTTCAAACCTATTTGGCCTTAAGTGCATCCTAAATGTAACTTTTTCACTTCATACCTATTTAGTCTTAAGTGCATAAAAATATTTGTTTTACTTCATACCTTAATTGGCTTTAATTGCATTGCACTTCAGGCAAAAAAAAAAAATCATCAACTTCAGATGATAAGTCCGAAGTTGATCCTAAATAGGGTAGACTTGTAATTTTTTGTGCAAAGTGGGGGAATGAGGTTTCAGCGACGGAAAAGATTGGCAGGGGAGAAAGGGATTTGGGGGCCCAAATCCAAAGTCCAAATTCTGGAGACGAAAGACGACGAGTTCAAAACTTTAACTATAGTGGCAAAGGATCAATTTTCTATAATGGACTTTGATGTGGGCTTTATGCTTCTCTAGCATGGGTGTGATTTGTAAAAATGTAATAAATTTATGGGGCGCTCTATTTGGTCGTCCTCCATTTAACTTATACCCATTTTTCTAGAAAAGCTTAAATAGTATCCAAAGTACAGATAACTTCAGGTCGTTTCCTTCTACTCCTTCTCTCCTTCTCTTCTTCCTGCTCCTCCTCCTCCTCTTCTTCTTCTTCTTCTTCTTTCTTCTTCTTCTTCTTCTTCTTCTTCGTCGTCGTCGTCGTCGTCGTCACTGTGAAAACAAAAGTGACGGTGGATGTACATGATATTTGTGAGCAGATTTTAAGGTGATTTATGGTATTTTATAGTAGTGAGCTGATGTGGCGCTCCTTTCTTTACTACTGCTTAGGATTTCTTTTTCTTCTTAATTGCAAAATGGGTTTGTTAGATTTATCGTTGTTTTGATAAATTAATGATTGGGGTTTGTTCTTTATGATATGTGGAGGTTATGTTTCAAATTTGAGCTAATTTATAGTAGATCTAGCCATCTAGGTATTGAATCGTGTGTTGGATTGTTAAAATTCGAAGAACAAGTTTCTATTTCTGGTTAATTTGCACTTTAGACCTAATTGGCCTTAAGTGCATGAAAATATTGGTTGCACTTCAGACTTATTTGGCCTTAAGTGCATCTTAAATGCAATTTTTTCACTTCCAACCTATTTGACCTGAAGTGCATGAAAATATTTGTTACACTTCAAACCTTAATTAGCCATAAGTGCATTGAAGTAGATCCTAAAGCGGGTAGACTTGTAAATTTTTGTGCAAGGTGGGTATAACTTCAATGGTGACTCCAAAACTGAGTATAGATGCAAATATCCCTGCAAAAATTGGATCATTTAAAGCCGAAATTTAAATTTTGTCCCGTTTAAGACTTTTACAGATATAGCCTTGGTATTACACATCCCGAAGAATGGAAAACTTTGTTCACAAGTTTTGACCAAAATCATCCTTATATTTTCATATAACTTTCACTGTATTCTTGTAATATTTCACTTAATAAGAAATATCCCTTAAATTTTTCATCCACTTCTAATAGAATTTTTATTTCTCACATAACCTTTTATCCTTTTCTCTTACAGAAACGTCTTCAGTTCCAGCGCCAGCTCCTTCACTTTTCAAAAGATATTGTATGTCTTTCCGTCTATTTCGTTTTCCATCTATTACTCACCGGAGTTCAATTTTAAGTTCTTGTTATGTAATGTGTTTCTTTTTCCTATTTTCCTCTCTCTCAGATTTTTCATAACTAATTAATCAAAACTGTAATTCCTTTTTCTTACTACTTTTGCAGAATGTAAATCTTCAAATTGATTTCAATATTTTTTTCTATTTGGGTTGTAATATGATGCTTTTGTTCCCCCAGCATGAAGAATGGTTCATGTCTCTTTAATTTTAATGTGAAAGCGGCATATTTCAATGTCTTTCTAGCTTTCCTAAACTCCTGCAACAAAATTATGAGAATTTCAGGCAAAAACAAAGTATCTGCAAACCCTATTCCCCAATCTCTCTTACCTGCATTTTCTTTCTCTTTGATTTTAGTTATTCAGCTACTCCTCATATTTGTTTTTTTTGTATTCAAGTTTGAATCTTGAATACTTGTCTAGGACTTATTTTTAGAATTGTAGATTGGGTCTTGTAGCTTATGTAGGATAATTTATTTCTTATATTTTTTACGTGTAATTTGACTATTTTGGATAGAGACATGTTTCATATGATATTCTTGATTGTAAAAGGATCATGTATTTTTTTTTCATTTAAATTCTTTGATAGAAAACACAAAAATAAGGGGAAAAACAACAAATATTCCAACAAGAATGACTGCCCGCAAAATTATATTTGAAATAACAAAAGAAACTCTCTTTGAATTGTTTACTGCCTCATCTGAGTCAAGCTTGTCTTGTAGATTTGCATACAAATTATGAGCAATTTTTCATATAATGTCCAGGAAATGGGGCAAAGAAATAAGCGTTACCCAATAACACGTAGTACAAATATACTTTTTTCTCAAGCTTCAAAAGAATTCTTCATAGAAAAAATGGAGAGAAGATTTTGTGGAAAAATAGGAAAGTCAGAAGAAGAGGTCATGTGAGAAATAAAGATTTTGTTAGAGGTGGATGAAAATTTAACTGAGGGATATTTTTGATTAACTTTGGGAAATTTAAAGGATGTTTCATGTTAAGTGGGATATTATAAGGATGTAGTGAAAGTTATGGTGAAACTATAAGGAGATTTTAGTCCAAAACTCTATTTTAATCGACCTATCTTTTAAATATTCACAAGTTTTGTCGGGTTTGCAAAATTGCCTTGTTCACAAGTTTTGACGGGCAGGACATAAATTATGTACAAATTATTTTTGAAATTTATTGGATGGGCTGTAACGACCCGACCAGTAGTTTTGTGTATTTGAGCCCCATTTTTCTATTTGATGATTTTCGTATGTGTGTTTATTATTTTGTGACTTACGTGGTTGGTTAGTTTGGCTTCGGGAATGCTTGAGAGTGAATTGAGACACTTAGTCTCATTTTGGGAAGCCTAAATTGTAAGAGTTGACCTAGGTTTGACTTTTGAGTAGACGGTCTCGGATTGATATTTTGATGGTTCTAATAGGTCCGTATGGTGATTTTGGACTTGGAATATATTCAAAATTGAATTTGGAGGTTCCTAGGATATTTTGGCGTTATTTCCCGAAAGTTGGTAATTTGTAGGATTTGAAGAGTTCATAAGTTTGACCGGGATTTGACTTTGAGGCTATCAGATTTAGTTAGTTGTTCCGGAAATTGAAATAGGTCCGTTTTTTATTTAGAACTAATATGCAAAGTTTGGGTTCATTCCGGATTAGTTAGGCTTGAACGGACGCTTGGTTTAAAGTTGGAAGTTTATGAACTTAAGAGATTGATCTTGATTGGCGATTCTTGGTTTTGATGTTATTTATGGTGTTTCGAGCCCTTGAAAAAGTTTGGATAAGGTATTGGGACTTGTTGCCATGATTTGACGGGGTCTCGGGGGGGACTCAAGTGTGTTTTAGATGTGTTTCGGATCACTTATGTCATGACCCAAAATCCTAATGAAAATAACAAGTAATCAATGAGTGAATTACCTGAATTCTATACAATAACCCAATGATTGGTGGTATAAGTCATGAGCCACTAAGACTTAGATTTACAAAGTTGGTATGCAAATAAATACATCTGTTTGGAACATACATAAACAGAATACGAATCTAAAACTAACAAGAACAAGTTGTATCTATATCCGAAAAGTAGGTACATCTTAAATGCCAGCTCCCCCCATTCACAGCAACATCATCTCCAAGATCTGAACACAAGGTGCAAAAGTGTAGTATGAGTACAACCGACCCCATGTAATCAGCAAGTATCATAACTAATCTCGGCGAGGTAATAGTGGCAATAGAGATTGTGATATGATATGCGAATTATAGATGTGACTGAGTATAAAATTTTCAAATTAAACAAGTAATTCAGCAACAACACGACCTTTGTGGGTCCCAACAGTACCAACATATAGCCTAAGCATGATTTCTAACATGAATCACAGCTCAATTTCTCTAACACATGGAGAATATATGGATAATAACAAGATTATTTGACTACACAGTTCCACGAAATTGATTGAGTCACAATTCGTACGGTGCACGCCCACACGCCCGTCACCTAGCATGTGCGTCACCTCAACACCAACCACATAACACGTAATTCAGGGATTCATACCTTTAGAACCAAGTTTAGAAGTGTTACTTACCTCAAACCGTGCAAATCTCTATTCCAACAAGCCCTTGCCTTGCGAATCGACC